ACTGTTTTTTGTTAACAAGAACCCGCGTGATTCAAACAGTAATAAACTGCCACCTATGGGGGGGGGGTCAGGACTGATGAATGAACTCCCTGTTAACATCCAAGCTTGATGAGAACTACTTCATTGGAGATTTTCGTTCTTGATCATACTGCTACACGGTATAACTATGAGTACGCAGATCCGCAGCATTTTCTATAGTGTAAGACACTGAGTATAATAGAGTATATGTGCAACATGTGTTTGTCTGTAACCATCTACATTCTGCTGATTGTAAAGTACGATGAATATTTCCAATTCTGGCAGTCTCCAGGAGATCAGAGATGATATTCTACCGACAAACTCTCGGAAAAACAACAATGAATACATTTTTAATCCACTTCGAGAGAAGTTCGGAAATGGAAACTGAGGATACGGAACTGAGCTCAAAGTGTCATTGCAACAACCTTAAAATCCACTTTATTCAGCTTTATTTTGCTATCATGCATACAGGTGTCCACTAATGGCATCTCACAACTGAAAAATATAAAATGAGTTTCAGAAAAGCTTTCTTAGAAGTATGCTTTTGACTTCTTGTTCAAACAACAAGAAGACATCATAGTAAGATCTTCCTCATAGTAACAGACTCCAGAAGATGATTAAATCTACACATAGAACTGAATGTTGTGAGAACTTGTGTGTATGTGTGATGAACGTTATGAGAGAACAATAAAATCCATTTTGGACGATTGAACTGCAGCCTTTGGAAGCTAAAAAGTTGAAAAAGTGAAAGATGATGAAATGTGTTGGTAAACTGTCATAAAAATACTTTCATTCAACACGTGATATGATTTAATTGAAGACAAAAAAAGAAAAAAAAGGGTTACTTTTAGTATTTCCAAGACCAACCGTTCACGACGTCATTAAAGACGAAAAAATGGTTCGATCACGTGAACAAATATTTATATGAACGTGGATTTTTGCAGCAAAAATATATGAGGAGGGTTCATCTCTATCATTCGTCTGTCTCTCTCCTCCCATCATTTGGAAATCTATCAATGCCTCTAGTTCATCTTCATCTTTCCTCTCTCTCTCCATTTCTCTATCTTTTCGTTTGTGTTCATTCTCATCTGACTAGACTAGCATGTCTCTTTCATGATAGAGAAAAGATGAACAAGAGGTTGCCCTTTTTAGGGAATTACCCATTGCTTCAATAGAAAAATGACAATATGTTTCGATTGATTGTTGACTCTATTTATAGACAGCTGTCTTCTCCATTTTCGTCTTTTGATATGATTTTGGAAAGTTGCTAATTCGTTTTTATCAACCCTTAAATCATTTCGTGTTTGATTAAACATTAATCTCTGACGACTGCCTGTGGTTTCGTAATATTGACTAACCTGAGACGTTTTCGTTTATAAATATATATATGTTCGCACTTTAATATACTATACTCATTACCTGCAGCATGTCAATTGTGGATGATGGTTGTGGAGTCTTAGACACCCACGTAACATGGGATGATATCCAAGATCATTTGTATTTGGCTTTCGGCAGAGATGCTTCCATGGGAGTTGACAAAACGATTAACGAGATAACTGAAGCTAATGTAAAGTCAATTTTATCATTTACTGTTCATACCGTTCTTTTAGGGGTTCGCATCAAAGATGTGCATCCTCGAGCCGAACTTCAGCAATGAATCACTGCCCAAGAAGCTGATCGTAAAGGTTAGCGATTAACCATCTATCTTTTTCAAGGAAGTGAAACATCTTTATTGCAGATCTTGTCTCTTGCAAGTGCTAACAATGCTGTCAATAAGATAAACATTGATTCAGATACCTTAAATACAAATCTTGTTGATGAGAATGAGAAGAGAGCGAAGGCTTTTTCTATGGTAAACTGACTTGAGATATCTGCATCCTTTTTATATCGTTTCAGTATCATAATCACGAAGTACTTACTTACAATCTACTGAATTCCATTGAAGATATGAACTATCCGATCGTTAAGGTATGATCACCTCATTTCCGTTTGTTACGATTGCTCGTTGAAGGTTTATTCCAGCCAAGCTATTTCTTTGCCAGAAAATCCAACAAAAGGTTTTATCATTATGGAATACCTTGAGAACATTGAGAATATTCATTTGGATAGCTGTTTTGATGATAGAATCATGTCTGAGGTTTGGGGAAGCTGTCTTATACTTCAACTATTCTTCATTAAAGGTTTTACGGGCAACTGCCAAGATTCATTCTTCCACTCGCTATATGAACGATGAAAACAAAGAAAATCTCAAATTGGGAACATACAAAGAACTATTTCGTCCAATTTTACGACCTGAAGTAACAGAACTTTGGTTTTATTTGATTTTCCAAAGTTTATTTGTAGTTTATAACGTCATCATTGGCTTTAACTAAAAGATTCTTGGGAGAAGAAGAAGAAGCTGCTATCGTCGAGGCCGAAGAAATTTGCAAAAAGATGGGAACGCAAGAGATGCGTAATCTGTTTGATCAAACATGTGAAGTTCTAGGTTTCGTTTCCTTTTCATCTGAGTATTACACTCATTTGAATGATGAGTACGAATAAGGTGTATGTCTTTCAGACATGAAGCCCGTCCTGTTACACGGAGACTTATGGGTCACTAATGTGGCTCTACAGAAGAATGCTGAAGGCGAAGTTAACATGAAGGCAATCATTGATTTCCAGGTTAATCTTTAAAGTCAATTTTCTAGAAAAGAAAGAGAAATGAAAACAAGAAAGTTAAAACGCGCTTTCAGGGTGCACATATAGGAAGCTTAGCTCACGATCTCGTCCGGTTATTCTGCTCAGTTTTGCCAGCTGAAGATTTCGAGGAGCTATCAGTCAAGTATTTAAAAGAGTATTATGAATATCTGAAAGAATACTCATCAGAAGAATCACTTCCTGGTTCATTTGAACAGGTAACACATTACCTTCTGCTATTGCTAGTATGTTGCAATCTTAAAGGTATTGGAATCATTCTATCGTTTATTACCAATTGGAGCTTTCATTATCGCCAGCACAATGACATTGATCCATAAACTAGTGGCGGAGCGACGAGCTGATCCTCAAAAGGTAAATAAATTTCATTCCAAAGCATACCTTATGTTTCAACTGCTATCCTTCTTACAGACGAGTCAGATAATCCGAGATAAGTGTATCGTTCTTATAAAACTTATTCCTAAATATTATGAACGTTACTATTCGTAATAATTAATAATCAACCGTCTCATCCAATGAGTGACATCAAAATGATTTACGCAATGTGTTCACGTCTCACGTCATTTTACGTACGTGAAAGGAACCATTAACATATGCTAATTTGTATTACTGAAATATTAGAAACAGTTATAGAATGTACTTTAAAAGAATAAAACGAAAAATGATCTTTCAAATCTTTAATGAAGCCAAGCGTTCGATTCCATTGATCAAGCTGTGTGTGCGTGTGTGTGTGTGTTCATGTCTTAACCATTGATGAAGTTCGATCATAAAACTCAAAACACTGATTAAATCTGGAAGCCTATTCAAATAGTGAGAAACAAAGTTGTTTTTTCTTTGAACATTTTCCCATATTTGGCTATTTTACTAATGCAAACTAGCGTATTAGCATATTTCCTTTTTCTGTTTCCTGGAAGCAACAATCATATATCATAAGTTCAGTGCGACTCTTCCTATTCTGTGTCTCTTTCATTCATTGTATCCCATAGAGTTCAAAAAACAATTTTTTTTGCCCTTTCATCATCATCATCATCATCATCATCATTGTTATTTTGAGAAGGAGGAGGAGAGTGAAAGCAAATAATAATTTATAAACTATATAACTTTGTATCATAACTATCACATAAGGAAAAGCTCTGGGGGCGATGGGAGGGAAAGGACAGTACAAATAAATAATATGGAAAGGACATATCTCAAGAGATTCAAAGGATGTGAAGTTCAGTAGTAAGAAAACGTTTTAATGATTTTCAAAAAGTATTTAACAAAAAAAAGGAAATAGGAAGTGCATTAAGTAGCATTTGTTGTTTTCTTGTGAACACCGTAGGGATAATGAGTTTCTTTTTTTTCAAATTTCACGTCTAGCGTGAGCCACAGCTATTTGTAGACATTGCAACCATTCTTCAGCTTTCTTCTCATCTGTTGCCTGAAATTCAATGACATGTAAGTAGGAAAAAACAAAATATGTGAACAGAAACGATGATGTTCGCTTGCGATTCGCTCGTTCTCCTCCACAAGTGCGTTAGTAGTTAGAAGGAATGAATTCAGCAAAAGAAAGCAAAACATGCCTTTAAGACGACCGTCGTATTGTCAGCCGTGAATATTTCAAAAGCTCTTCGAAGAGATTTTCTGTTCTTCCGTCCACGACTTAATGAACGAACTGATCGAATATTTTTGAGATCGATAGCTGGTAAAGCTATGCTGTTACAATTATTGGATGACCAATTATTATTCTGAAGCATATGGATGTTATTATGAAATGAGATTGATGTTGTTGTTACCGGATTCTTTATACTGCTTGGAGTTAAAGCTGCACTCGAAAGTGTAAAATATTTTGTATGCCAACGTCGAACAAACCGCCATCTTCCTCGTTTCTCTTTAAGTTGACCTTCCAATACCTTTGCACAAGCCCCATCTTCCACGAATGATCTGTAATAGTGAGGATTGGTAATTGATACTCTAACTGATTATGGAATTACTTGACTTTATCAGGGTTTGAGCAACTGAAACATTGCCAGCGATTGGAAGGTCCATCTAATGAGAAGCAATCAAAGAACGATGCGTTCTCCATCTCTTTCAACATTCTGTCTTGATCCTTTAAAGTAACAGTTTATACTGGTTAATTGAGAAAACAAAACCTTAGTTGTAGGGAAAGCACTTGTTACAAGAGTGACAAATGGTCTGTTCTTAGTTACAGAGGAAGGTAGGCATTGCCAACAGTTTGAAAGTTTCAGGTAAGCAGCTGATGACTGAGCAATCACTTGCCCAGTCGTTTCAATAGATGTTGATTGCATCTATGAAGGTGTTACCTTAGTTTGATTTTTATGTGTCAGTTTACCTGGAGGAACATCAGATGAAGCCAAGACGCAGGTAATTTTGTTTTAAAGTTGAATAAGTAATCCTCGTTAAAGACACAATACTCAGCTCGAGCCTGACAAGCGAAATGAACGATCATCCGATGCTTGGAACCTTAAAAACATAGTCTTTGACAAGTGACATAAGCACGAACGAACTTTTCGAGCCTTCAACTGTGCATTGAATGGGAATGGGAAAACGAGCAGAGATTTCTTGGATGAACCTGCGAATTTTGTTCCGTCGGTGATCGACAAACTGTTGCACAACATCAGAACGATCGGAAACCAAGGCTGTTGCCGACTTCTTCGTAATATTTCCATTTTCCTATAAAAATGTGAATTGAATTGAAGAATGTGAGAATAAGGATGTTACCCATTCACGATTATCATCTTCTTCAGTCAATGGCAACATTTTGGTTGTAGTGATAGGACCAGCGTTGGCAGGAAACGTTGTTTCATAGCACTGAGAAGCCATGCGGCGGCCGCTTGAAGGAACTGGACGCACTCGACCATCTTTTCCTATCTTAAAGTACTTCCTCGTTATGCTATACATTCATAAGATATCTGTACTTGTATATGTTGGGAACCCGTGTAGAAGCTGGAAGAAGATGAGGATGAGCCGTTTAAAGCAACATTCTGAATTTTGGGTGGCTGATATTGGGGTGGTGGACGCGTCACATAATCTGCTGGAACTCTACTTGATCCACCAGCAACTGAGCCACAAACAGACAAGTCACGTGAGCCAGACATTGTCACATTCTCACTAGTTGAACGATATCTATAAAGGTTCATAGTATGATATGAAGAAAAAGAATAATAAAAGCTTAGAGGTGGGTAATGCTGAATGATAACAAGATGAAAGGAAGATAGAGAGAGTGAAGGAACGAATGAGAGAGAGAGAGAGAAGAAGAGATCTAAAAGAGAGAGAGGGAGAGGAATCTTTCAACTGTTAACTGATGGCGAATGAAGACGAAGTAATAGAATTACTGGGGAAGGCAGATGAAGAAGGCAAAGAGAATGAGAGTAAAAGCTGAGTACATGGGTACTTTCATATGCATGAATGATATTCAGTGGAAATTATGAAGATCTTCACTCAAAATATATGATGAAAGATCAGAAGTTCATGCGAAAACAACATTAAAAATATAAAAAATGGGGAAAAGGAACGAACCCTCCGGCAACGCTTGCATGACTTCTCGATTGATTCTTTGATAAACTTCCACTACTTCTATTTTGATATTGCATGGCAAGACTATGAGTATTCCGGTCAAGTTCTTGTGTTGAACAATCAGCAGGAGAGTCACTTATGGAAAAAACAGTTCGAGATCCACTTCAAAAGAAAATATGGTAAGAGAGAGCACATGAGAGAGAGAATAAAAAACCTCGTAATGATGTCGTTGCCACGGAGTGATGTTTTGGATAAGAGAGAATCACACGACGTTTTATCGGGTACTCGAATGACTGTTACTTCAGCATTGCTATGAGATGCATCAGATGAGACGCTGAAACAAACAAAATATAACTGTTATGGATATCCCTCAACTGATAATGATAGATACAAGAAGATAGTGAGAAAGACATGAAGACATGAAGCTCATAACATACCCTGTTAGTCCGATGATTCTTTCGATTGTCCGTGACGTGTTTGAAGTTCTTATATCTCGTAAATTATCCAAATAAGGTCGAAGGCATGAAGGATACAGAGCAGCTATGCCTACAAAACAAAATGTGAAAGAATGAGGAAGATGTTTGTACTATAGAAGATGACACGTGTCTTGTTTTATTATTTTTTGTGTCTTTTCTCTCAAATGGGGCCAAACGAGCTTGCTGGTGTTGGGTAGAATGGGGATGAGGAGGGAGAGCTCTAAGCGATATGCAAATAAGGCAAAAGCATCTTTCATAGCAAACAGTAGGCTTTCTTAATAGGACAAATAACCTCAATGTTACTTCCGAATTATTATTTTTGAGTTCTCAGTTGAATGGAATGGATGAGTAGGAAGGGAGGATGAGCAAAATAGAAGTAAATGAGATTACCTTCAATTTCACTCAGAATAGTTGAGAGGATCAGAGGATCAGCTGTACGAGCACATGCCATCAAGTCATCAACACATCTTGTGGCTAATGGCAATGAAACTCTTCCAATATTTCCAATTATCTTTAATTATATCATATAGTTAATGACATATAAACAATATAAATACCTTTGTTATTGTTCCAAGACTTCCAACAAACTCAGGATCAGAAGATATCTGAAAAACAATTTTGAAACATACCAAGTTGAAATGAAAACATACTTTGCGTAATGATGGAAGTGATGATGAGACCATTTCAGCTTTGCCTTGTGAGACCAATGACATGAAGATATTCAAAACAGCTGTACATGTTGATGGAGACTTCAAGAACTTCTCAAACTGTCCCAAATATGGTAACAGCAACTGCAATTAAAATGATATCATACATATAATCAGCATAATTAACACAGACCTCAGGCTTATAATTAGCTAATAAGCTTGCCAATTGTAATAATGAAAGTTTCTCTGAACAGTCAGCAGCATGTTCATCGAGAACAGCCATTAATGGAGATAGATGAGCATGAAATGGCTCACGATTATCCGAATAGATCTGTGGCAGAACACGTAACAAGCTGTAGTTTCCTGAAATGCAAATCAAATATGAAACGAAGATGAGAAAATGGAGAGAAAAATGTTTTTTTCATTCAAACATCGTCTGCTGATGATGATGTCGGCAACGACGATGATGATGATGATAGGGTGTTTGAGATTTTCAAATATTAATGTTAATAATTAATTTGTCATTAAATAAATAATTAATATAAATAATACCTTTAATGACATGAGATATTATATCGATTGCATAGTTAGAGAGTGTCTTGCCATTATGAATAGCTGCTAATGATATGTAGCTGGTTACATTACGAACAAGATCATGGTTGGAACAGCCTAATGCCTTAAAACAAATTGTATTTATATCGTATAATCAGCATATTTTAACTATTTTGTTTATGTTTCCCTTCTTTTCTCTCTCTCTCTCTGACCTTCTCTCCCTCTCACTCCCTCTTAGTCTCTTTCCCATTCTTTTTAGAATATATTATTCATTTCATGACGTAAATACGTGTATTTATAATGAAATCTGACGTAATGTGTTTCAGCTTTACACGTGTTCCCACGTATAGCCCCACGTATTCCCACGTGACATCAAACGTTTAACCCAATCGCTCATATTTTCCAGTTCAATTGACGTAGCGAGCGGTTGTGTTGAAATACATTGAAGCGTATATAGCGGTTGCATTCTCTAGCATTTCATGTTTGTTTCAAAAACAAGTAGTAGCATGATGATGTTGATGATGATGATGATGTTAGTGATGAAGCATACCTTTATGGCCACCGGCAATGTTAATGTCATGACACTCTTTTTGCTATAATGCTGAAAAGAAAGTAAATGATGATTAGAAGAATGAGATATTGAAAGCTTACAAGGAACAATGAGCTCAGAAGATCATTGGCTATCTTACAATGAGGACTATCAACATATTTTCCATTATCATCGAATGTTGTCATCTTATGTTGTAAACAGATATCCAGTACATCTACTAATTCAGCTGAGTACGTTTCAATACTTCCGGTCTCTCTGAATAATCAACATCATCATAACCATATATGTCTAGATAGGCAAGAGTGTTGTAGTGAGTATAGAAGTGAGGAGAGTACAGAGAGATGAATATAGTATAATCAATAAGGAAGTAAAGGAGATAACTATTAGCATGATCACAGATGAATCATCAATTTCATGGAAAAATCTTCAAATTTACCTGATGGCTGCTGTTATACGGGCAATGACAATTTCCACGACGCTTTGATCAATTCGATTATCAACATATTCACAGCTATTGAAAATATTTTTTATACATTGAAATGCAGTATGCTATAAGATGAAAAACATATAATATTGATTGATTGTTATATATATTGATTACCAAATCGGTTATGACATCATAATCATTCATAGTAAACAGTTGACCAGCCGAATTGAGTTGGCGTTGCTCAAGAACTCGGCTGAGCAATGAGTGCATTGAGAGGCTGCGGGCAAGGAGCCCAAACCTATTTAATTATAATATTATATAGTTTAATGAATAAATAATATAGTTAAAGCATAGTTTCAACATATAACAACGGAAATGACAAAAAAATAACTGAGAAAATGTTTTTGTTGAGAAAAATTGATTGAAAAACGGATTATTGCAGCTTGATAATGGTATCTCAAGTACATCAATGATATGGTTTTATTTTTATTTTTTTTTCTTTTCCAACCAATAGAGCCTTCAATAGAGTCTTGATGGAGCGACATGATGAAGACGAAACATAATCATTCGGATATTCGCAATTGACGAATATAGCAGGGGAGGATGGAGATAGAAGAAAATGGATTTTGCAAAATGATGAGAAAGGAAAAAAGGAGGTAAGAATAGATGTAGTACGTTGAGAAGGAGAAGGACAGAAAGAATAGGGAAGATAGAGAGAGTGGAGGTAATTGATAAGTATAAGATAATTGGAAAGGTAGAGAGTGTGAGATAAAAAAGAAGAGTAACGTCATTAAAAGGACCCAAATGCCCCCAAAAAGCCTGGACACTCATATATCGTCATCAATAGGAGTGATATGTGAAAAAACAGAAATAGCATTTATAATCAAAGAGACTCTCTTTACAAAGTTTCTGATAACATTTCAAAGAGACAGTTTGGTGTATGAGTTCTTATATAGAAGCATTAAAGTTGTAATAATGCTGAGTGTTGATAGCAATGGAACAGTAGGTTGAACGAATGGATGAATCTTTTGAAGATGAGCCGATTATTCTAATTATGGTCATAGTTTACAAGAAAATGGATGAATCTCCTTTTTTTTTGTAGAAGTTTGCATCGATTGGAAGGGAAAGACGAAGAGATGTGAAGATGAAACAGAGAGAGAAAGAGAGTAAGACGTATGAGAGGGGTTGGTTATGAAAATGTTAAAGCTGATGTGTGGTGATGATGAATCAGATTGATGGAGGTCTTATACAGGTACATTTGTATGTTACATGAGAAGGGAAACAGGTAAAAAGAGACTTTTAACGAGAGTACTGAAAACAAGAAAAAGCAAAGAGAAAAATAGAAAAAATAAGAGATAGAGGGAAGAAAGGAGGGAGAGGAAGAGAGAAAAATGAAAAAAGAAGGAAAATGAAGGGAGGTAGAAGATGTGTATGTACGTATTTCGTTCTCTGCTGACTGTCTCTTTATGACTACCTTCTATGGTTGAGTCTCGTCCTACAGACCCTCTGATCGCATCGATCGACCAGCTGGTCAGACGTTAAGACGAAATATAATTAGACGTGATGAGAGAGTAGGCAAGATAAGCGAGGCCGTAGAAGGGCTGGGAGGTTGTGAACGGCCAGTCGGCCCTGTAAAGGTAAAATGAGGCAGAAAGAAATATATTGTCAAGATATTGAGAGAAAAAGAGAGAGAGACAAGCAAAATATGAAAGAGAGAATGGGCAATAGATAGAGAGAGAAAAGATGAGATGAGAAGAAAGACTGTTTGACTCCTTGCCCATACAGGGACATATACACACAAACTGAGCAACAAATAAGAATAATGATGGCATAGAGAATGAATGAAAAACCTTTTAATATAGTTAATTTTGAAAAAAAACGGAAAAGATTTGATGAGATTGAAAGAGATAGAGAGAGAAGAAGTGAGAGAGGGGAAGAATAGAAACACAACCGCACGTGGTCTGCAAGAATGAACAAATGAAGACTTCACGTATGTTTCCACGTTATGCTAATTAAGCATGTGAGAAATGAGGTGAGAAATCATAGAAATAGAGTAAGTCAAAGGGTGCAAATACATTGAAAGACATATGAAAAGAGAGGTAAAGAAGAGAATACAGAGAGAATAGAGAGAGAGAGAGAAAGAGAGAGGGAGAGAGTCAAAGGTAAAGAAAGTGTAATCAAAGGCAAGTTGCGTCTTTGAAAAATAAGAGAAATCAATTAAATTTTTAAAAAAATCAATAAAAAGTAGTTATGAAAGAGAGTATTGAATGGATGGTATGATTAGGTTGAGTTAACAAGGTGTACAGAGAGACATACATACATAAATGGATAAGAGTTTTGAGCTCAGTTTGGTTTTGAGCCAATGGCTTGTGAGTGTCTTAAATGCAAACAAATGTAGAAAAACGATTTGTTTGACGTTTATTTAAGGAGAAAAAGGACATTTTGAAACCAACAAAAATGAATTTCGAGAAGTTTAAAGAAATTATGATTTTTGAGGGAAAAGATGAAGAGAGAGAGAGAGAGAGGGAAGGAGGGAGGGAGGGAGAGGCAGCTATGCTTATCAACCTTGACTTAAAAAAGAAAGACGACGAAAAGAAGAGGAAATAGATGATTCATCCAAATACAGTTCCTCCTCCCTATGAGGTCGTTTAGATAAAGAAGACCTTCAGGTTTCATTTTTTTTCATTCATTTTTTTTGAAAATAAAATGAGATTACGTCATTATAAGATAAATAATCTGAAGAGTTGATGAGAAACAATATTTGGTGGTCGGGCTGTCAGGTACATGATTGAATCAAAAGAGATTCACAGACTGTGCGCGTGAGGAGATGATGGAGAAGAAGAAGGAGGTGAAAGATGGAAATTGAGGGTGTGTATGTGTGTGTTGATTGTTAACGACACCATCATTAGGTTAAAAGACTTGATGATCATGACTGTAGGGTAAAATAAGAACAAGATAAAGCAAAAGGGAAAGAAGAGAGACAGAGTAACAAAGATAGAGAGAGATGGTTTGGAAGAAAAACTTGTTTGCCTCTCCTCCAGAGAATGTCAGAGACATTAAAATCAAAATAAAAGAGAGTCAAAGCTTTTTGAGATGAAAATTAAAAATGATTTTGAACATCTTTTGTTCCATTGAAGTCAATTACGAGATATGAATTTTGATTTTAATTTTTGTGAGAAAGAAGCACGTCCACAGACTAACACACATCACACACGCACACACACACACACACACGGAAGATTTGATTAAGAAAGAAGGGGGGGGGAGAAGAAAGAATGGTTGGGAGGTGGAAGAAGAGAAAGAAGTTGTTGAACTTGTTGATTTAATTGGAATTCTTGATGGTGAGAAGTAAGAAGGAGAAGAAGAAGAAGAAAAATGAATTTCATTTAAATCACAATCAGCAGCATTTGCCTCGCTTTCTCTCCTTCATCATGGCTTTGATGATGAGAAAGGGAAATGAGAAGAGAAGTTCATGTGTGTGTATGTACATACATGTTCAGTCATAAAATGATAAATTAGCGGAAAAAAGAAGAAAGTCCAGCATGGATTTTAAGCTTTTAAGCTCTCGGCAAAACGAGATAAGATGAGAAATATTCAGGTAATGAAATGACCTAAATAGCAAAGACAAATTCTCAGCTAAATTGGAAAACATAAGAGGCTTGTCCATCTGCCTAATGGACCAGGTGCTAAATCCTTCATCACGCTATTTTTGTCAGATTTTCAACAGAATATTGAAACAGATGACAAGTTTCATTTAATGTTTGAAGATCTATCTAGCTATCTGAAGATATAAACACAGAGAGAGAGAGAGAGAGAAGGGAAGACTGATATTGAGAGAGAGAGAAAAAGAGACACACGCACATATAAGCAGAGAACGAAAATAAAGAGAAGTAGCAATGACTTTACAAAAATATAAGTGAATCCCACCTTTTGCTGTTTGCTGACGTCACATTCGTTTCTTGTTTCTTCGGTATCATAAAGGCCACAAAATACAAAATGATGAACAGCCATATGCAATTTCTTATTCTCTCATTCTCCTTACATCTCCTGTTTCTCTTTATTCTCTCTGCGTAACCACCAGGAGGACGTCATCATCAGCATCATGAAATCATGCCAATATCATTACAAACAAAAGTCCTTCTGGGTTTCTCCAGTTTCTGAAACATTGCAGAAATGCTCACTTTCTCTTTCGATTGCAAAGCTCTTCCATACTATCTTAAGAATCAATTAGCATATCAGTTTGAATCCTTTCTCTTCCTATCATTCATACACACCTTATACACCCATAAGCCGTCGTACTCTGAGAGCTCATAAAGAATTAAAAAATAAAATTATCATGATTATACATTCTGATTAATTGAAACTTACGTGGTTCTCCTGTTAGTCCAAACATCATCATTCAATCTCTGAGCTTATCCCGCCATGACACGCATACCTCTTTCCAGAACAGTCGCAAGCCCAACTCCTATTGAGTGGATCAATCTATTATCCGCCTGAATGGCAATGCAGACTTTCCACAAAAGTTCAAACCAAACTTGATATGTATAGTTATCATTCAATCTGGAAGAGAAAAACAAGGTACGCCTTCCATGATTAGCGCTATGCGACGTAATGATCATTCATTATCCTATTCAGAATCTTCTGTCGCGCAGAGGCGAGTACCTTGAATTCCCTAACTCATCATTTTCAAAGAATTATTCGTAAGTTGTTAGATTGAATAATATATTTATATGTTTTTTTTAAAGAGTTCGTTAGCCAATTGGATGGTGTCATGTAATCGCGCCCATAAGATGGGACAAACAAGGTTGTCATTTGATGAGACAGGGAGTAAACTATAAGAACACGGAAGCTCTTATAGTATAACTTGAACTAACCATTCATGGAATCAACTTTATATTCAAACAAAAACATTTATTGGATGTAACTATACATTGGATACAAAGAGAGACATGAAAATCAAGAAAAACCAACCTGAAACTCGTTGAATAGAAATGTTGGCGAGAGATGACAAATGGATTATGAAAAAGTGTGTTTTGACTACAATCGAATAATCAAAAGTCATCAAACGGACAGTACCACTTCAAAGATAAAGGTTTTCGTCGTCGAAATAAATATTTTTGAGCAAGATCATCAAAATCTCATGAATTCGTAATCTTTGCAAAACAATTTGGTTAATTTGCTCTTCTTATCAGTTCATTAGGATTAGAAAATGAAGGTTCCGAATGTGTGGACATGAAATTGAAAAACCAAAGGATTCAAGTCGTTTCCGATCTATCTATCTCTCCCACTCTCTTTCTCTTCTCATAATCAGTAGTCTTTGATATCATGTAGGCTCTCAAGTCATGCAACTTATGAAGAAAAAATATTTTTCTTAATGTATCTCTATCTCAAATCTTCCATATCTAGTGTATCTTCTTCATTCATGCTTTCATATCCGATTTGCGTCATATCACGTTTACGTGAAACGTTTAGCCCACGTTTTACGTGAACCGAGTTTTCACGTAAACGTGAGTTTATACACGTGCATGATATTGAACTGTTTATTTTAATTTGCTAGTCTCGCCCAAACCGGTTGTTTTGATATGAATTGAGCTTCCAGTTCTTTGATTGTGCACACGATTTTCAAAAAGAGAGGAGAGATAGATAGAGAGAGAGAGAGAGAGAGAGATGAGTGAGATTGCATAGGATTGCATAAGGAGAACGTTGAAGATAAACTTAAAAAGTCAGTAAGAAGGAAAAGTTCAAAAGATAAAAGAATCTATATATTGTGTGTGTGTGTTTCAATGATGTTTGTAGTGAGTTTGTGTGAGCAAAATTCAAAATTCCCTCATATCACATCTATCTATAACATCAAATATTATCTTTCTTTTTTGCATATAAAATGGAAAAAGTTTGTTCTTCTTTTTTCATCAAATATTATTAAAATACTATTATGATTACTGTACTGTATAAATTACACATATAATGTATATAGTTATATATAAGCGATAGGGGTGCATTCATACACATCTAACGTCTCATCATTACAGTCTCCATGAAGTTCGGCTTATGCTCGAAGAATAAGGAGAATGATGAAGCTACATCTACTGAAAAGCTACCTTCAATTGGCTTTTTTGATATTGTTAGTCCTTAATCTATATCATATAGTTAATACATATTTATAATATATAGATGAGATTTTCGAAATTAGTTGATTGGCTTCTACTTCTAGTTGGAATTACTTTTAGTTTATTGAATGGTTCATTGCTACCTTTGAACTCACTTATCTTTCAAGGTAAACTATATATATCATATAGTTAGTATGTGTTATTGAATACTTATTAAGGAATCACTAATGTGTTAATAGAAGGACAGGGAAACTATGCCAAAGGAACTTTAGACACTTCAAAATTCTCATCAGATGTGCTTCATTACTGCTTATTATACTTTCTACTTGGCTTAACCATATTCATAGTATCATATATAGCTGTGAGATGCACTGTACTTCCTCATTCATAATTACTTTCAATAGAATGCTTCGATGTTCTCTTTGTGCGAACGAAAAGTTTATTTGTTGCGACAGCTTTATCTTAAAGCTGTTATGAACCAAGATATGACATGGTTTGATAAACAACAGCACGGAGCACTCACCCAGAAAATGACCAGGCAATCGTCATGTTTATGATCTTTGGTATTATAGTATTCTATTTTAGTGGAACGGAAAAGATCAAGGATGGATATGGTGACAAGCTTGGTCTTATTACAGGAGCTTTGTCGACGTTCGTATGTGGCTTGACCGTTGGCTTCTCACTTAGGTAGGTCTGAAATGGAATGCTCTCACCTGTTGCATTCAGTTGGCAAATGACTCTTCTGATGTTGATCTGTGTACCATTGCTCGCTGCTTCTATGCTCATATCAGGAAAGGTGGGTTGACTTCTTCCTCAGGGAGAAATCGTAGTTATTTCTCAGTTGCTGGCAAAAGCGTCCCAGAATGAGATGTCAGCCTTCTCCGAAGCCGGGTCTCTAGCTACGGAAGTAATTGGAGGAATCCGTACAGTGATGGCATTCAATGCTCAGCCATACGAAGTGAATAGGTAAAATCGGTGAACTCTGAGATATGAACCGGAAGTCCATCTTAAGATATGAGACTCAGTTACACAAAGCAAGGAAACTTGGAATACGAAAAGCATATGTGAACTCCATGTTTGCAGCTGTTCCATTGGCATTGATGTTCGGAACAATGGCCCTTGCTTTTTGGTCAGTTGTATGAATATTAAATAGAAGCAAAGACAATTGTATTAGGTATGGAACTAAGTTGGTTGTCGATGGAACTGTCTCACCCGGAACTATTTTTGGAGTTTTCTGGGCTGTTATGTTAGGAACAATTCGTATAAGCTCTGCTGCTCCACAATTGGAGTCGCTATTGTCTGCCAAATTATCGTTGCAAGAAATTCTTGCCGTCATTGATCGGGTAAGATATAATAAAATGAATAATTTTCTTCTTCTCCCTTCCTCTTCTTGAAATAAGAGAGAAAAAAATGTAATTTCTAATTCGATTTTGTTAAGAAACCAGAAATCAACAGCCAATCATCGAATGGTTCAAAACCCGATAAGCTTAACGGACATATTTGGGTTGAAAACTTGGAATTCGCCTATCCCAGTAGACCATCAGTTCAAATTTTGAAAGACGTTTCATTTGAAGTAATTACATGATTATTGATCTTAACAACTCTGCGATCTCTTCATAGGTACTGCCAGGCCAATCTGTTGCTTTGGTTGGTGCATCTGGATGTGGCAAATCCACAATCTTAGGCATTCTTCAAAGATTCTATGAACAGGAAATAGGAAAGGTGTGTTTTGAATTTAAATTGTAAACGAAAACAACCGTTCTGTGTTATGATAGCAAGTGCAAATGAATTCACGTGGGATCATTAGCATAGATCTTCACGTGAAGCCCAGAATGCTATTCCACGTGGACTTGATGTCATTCTGATTAGAAAACATGAAGCTAATCATAAACCACTCAAATTAAATACAAAAACGTTTTGTAATCATCTCTTCTGATTGATCTCTGTTTATATCAGTTGTAGTCCATTTTTTCCAGGTTCTGCTAGATGATAAGCCTATATCAGAATACAATATTGAATATATTCGAGATAAAATCGGTGTTGTTCAACAAGATCCAGTCATTTTCTATGGAACAGTAGCTGAGAACATACGGTATAGTATTGAGAAGACGTTCTTCTGTCTAAGAGCTTTATTTGAAGTCTTGGCGATCAATCAATAACAGATGAAGATCTGGACGATGTTTGCAAACAAGCTAATGCATATGAATTTGTTCATAAATTAGCAGAAGGATACAATACTGTTATTGGTGAAAGTGCAGTACAACTTTCTGGTGGTCAAAAACAGAGAATAGCAATCGCACGAGCTCTGGCGCGTAAACCGAAAATCCTGTTGCTCGATGAAGCTACATCTGCTTTGGACACCGAAAGTGAACGCGTAGTTCAGAATGCTTTAGACAAGGTGAAAATGATGTGAGAAACAAAAACCGCTAAGTTCATTTTTCAAGCGAACAGAAAACATTTTTCTGATTCGTCACTAACAAAAATGCATTTATGCGAAATCGTTTCAAATGAATACAGAAAGTATAAACGGAAACGGATTACAGGCGAGAGAAGGACGTACAACCATCTGTGTAGCTCATCGCTTATCAACTGTACGTAACGCTGACCAAATTTTTGTTTTTGATAAGGGAATCATTGTTCAAAGAGGTTAGCAACACAATTGGAACAACTAGACCATCTTTTGCTGTTACAGGTAACCATGACGAGCTTATTGAAGATGAACAGGGTATATATGCTCAAATGGTTCGCATGCAAGAAGTTGAACAAGCAGAAGATGACACTACGTTAGATGGTTCGTTACATTCCTTCATTGCACTCCTTTTTTTTGTTCTTTGGTTCTATTTATGTTTACTTTGATTATATATAGACGTAGATCCATCCGATATCCACCGTGGATACAATAAGTCAAACGCAATCGGTGATGATGAGAGGATGTCCCGAAAAGAAATGCAAATACAATCTCAGCGCTTAAGGATCAGTATGATCAGCGCGAAATCCCAGGATACTGACTTCCAGATCGAAGAGTAAGTCATATAAACTCAACTGTAAAAATATTAGCACTGCATTGTCTCGATAAGAATGTGTGGGTGAAAACTGAAAATGTGTCCCATGTGGTCTAGTGGTTAGGATTCGTGGTTTTCACCCACGCGGCCCGGGTTCGATTCCCGGCATAGGAATGTCTTTTTGCATTTAACTCTTAGTACTGCCAATTAAGTACTTTGTTATTTGAAGTTATTTTCAGTGCTAGAGAAGAGTTATCCGGAGAGGGTGCTATGGAGGCTTCCCTCTTCGACATTTTCCGTTTCTCAAAGCCTGTAAGATTGTTCTTTGTTACTTTGTTATCAATCTCTCTCTAAGGAATTACCAATTGCACTGTTAGGGTTCGTGATGGCTATTGTTAGAGGATTAACTTGGCCTGTTTTCTCGATTATTTACGGAAAGCTGTTCATTGTGAGAATTTTCATCTTGCAAACAGTACAATCAAGACTATTAAAGGTTTTATCTGATGTCAACGAGAATACAACTGTGGCAGGCTTAGTATGGGCTTTCGTCGGTTTAGCTCTTCTGGCAGGAGGATCAACCTTCATGTCCGGTTCTCTATTTGGAGTTGCCGGACAAAGAATGTCAACTAGACTCCGAATGGCTGTTTACAAGGTTTTCCCCTTTGTCTCATAGTGACTATTTTGAAAAATTGGAACTTTAGAATATTTTGAGACAAGATGCAGCCTATTTCGATGACGTCAAGCATACCGTAGGATCTTTAACTTCTCGATTGGCTACAGATGCCCCGAACGTTCAAGCTGTAAGAAAACGAAGCAAAACTATAGAAAGCCAAGTGAACCAAATGTTGTTGTTTAGGCTATTGATCAGCGATTGTCCGAAGTGTTACAAGGTTTATCCAGTTTAACAGCCGGAATTACAGTAGCTTTTTGTTATGGATGGAACATGGCACCGATTGGCCTAGCGACAGCTTTACTTTTAGGTTCAAATTAAATTTTAGAGAATCAAAAAACAATGTTATATGTGCTTTTAGTAGCCATGCAGAGTGCTGTAACAGGCTATCTGAAGATGAGAGGTCAGAAGGATCTGGAATCTGCACTAGAAGCTAGTAGAGTACGTCAAACATACAACTGCATATGAGCATTTCCCAAAATAGGTTGTGACGGACACTGTTCTGAATGTGAAATGTATTCAATCGTTAAATAAGCAGAATTACATCATAGAATGCTTCAAAAAAGCTTCCTCGGAGCCTCATAAACGAGCTATCACGAGAGGTTCGCTATCTATCTCTCTCTCAACACTTATATTTCCCTTCTTTTTCTATTTTTAGGCTTATGGCAATCCCTTTCCATATCACTGGCCAATAGCTTTTTCCTTTGGAACTTTGCGATCGCATATGCTTTCGGCCTTTGGCTCATTCGCAATGGCTGGTCAACTCCTTTCATAGTCTTTCAGTAAAAAAAAAACAAATTAGTCGGAAATGAAATTTAAATTTCAGAGTTATTGAAGCTTTGAATATGGCTTCGGTTTCTGTAATGGCAGCAGCTTCCTACTTTCCAGAATATATTCGAGCCCGAATATCAGCTGGAGTTCTGTTCGCCATGATTCGTCAAGAATCTAAAATTGATAACATGAGCCATGTCGGAGACATTCCAGTCAGTTTCTATTTCAGTACAATTGGGTAGATGTAGGAAGAACAGGAATAGCTAAGAGAAAGAGAAAGGGAGAGAGAGAGAGAAGAGAGGAGCTGAAGGAGATAAAGAATCAACGACCATTGAGGAATGTATGAAGATCTATTGAAATATTTACTGCTGCAAATCATATTCGAGTCTATTAAAAGAAATATTTTTTTTGCAGGATATCAAAGGACATGTATCTCTACGAAATGTTTATTTTTCCTATCCAACACGACGTCGAGCATTAGTCTTAAATGGAATGACTGTATCAGTGAAGTTTGGGCAAACTTTAGCTTTGGTTGGACCATCCGGATGTGGAAAGAGCACTGTCATTCAAATGCTCGAAAGATATTATGATCCATTATGTGGAACTGTCGTAAGCCTTTGTTCAATCTTGTTATTGCATCATTGAATTAATGCCATTTATGAAACTACTTCATAGGCTGTCGACAATAATGATATTCGAGATCTATCAATCAGACATTTACGAGACCACATGGCACTTGTGGGACAAGAACCAGTGCTGTTCAACATATCTATTAGGTTTTTCATTTTTGAACTTATGCAACTCAAACATGAAACTTAAGAGATAACATTGCATATGGTCTGGATGATTGCACTCAGGAAGAAATTGAAAAGGCAGCTCAGTTAGCTAACATCCACCAATTCATTGTTTCGTTACCCGAGGTTTTCTCACTTGCACCTCTGTCTTTCAAACATCTCTATGTTCCAGGGATACGATACCTTAGTTGGAAGTAGAGGAGGTAGATTATCTGGAGGACAGAAACAGAGAATTTCAATTGCAAGAGCTATTGTTAGGAACCCTCGTATTCTACTTTTAGATGAAGCTACCTCAGCCCTTGATAGTGAAAGTGAAAAGGTATAGTTAAGCTGAATAGTCGGATTATAGCTCATCTTCATCAGGTTGTACAAGAAGCCTTGGATCGTGCTCGTCAAGGAAGAACTTGTATTGTGATTGCGCATAGGCTATCAACGATACAGGTAACATATAGAAACACTTGAAACAGAAGCCACCTATACTGTTCAGAATGCTGACATCATTGCCGTTTGTCGTGATGGTGTGGTTATAGAACAAGGAACTCACAAGAGCTTGTTATCCAGGAAAGGATTGTACTACAAATTGGTTCATAAACAACATTAGTTTTTGTTCTCTTTCTAAATCTAGCTTACTCTTGACCATTCTCTCTCTCTATCTCTCATACACAATCTATTTCTCTCTTTCTCTAACTGTCTGTCAGTCTCTCCATATCTCTCTCTATCTCTCTCCTTATGCTTACCAAAGACAACTGATCTCAGAATAATTGATTTGATTACTAAATGATGTGATTAGTAAAAGCAAAATCCTTTAAACAGTTGTTGAGTGAAAGGATCTTTCTGTCGAAAACTATTTTTACACGAAAAATGAATGTTATTATATAGATTGAACTTTCAATAAAACCAAATATTACGTAGTCAAAGGAGAATATGAAGAAGAAAAAGAAATTTTCTTTCTTTTTTTTTTTGTTTTATTCGTCTGCTTTTTCTCTTAAAACTATACTATGCGCAGAATAGTTAAGGAGAGAGAATGACGTCGCCGCGACGAAGGTACGTCAAGGAGGATGTTCTGATGAATTTGGTCATGTTATACACTGTGAATGATTAGCTCATTCAACCACGATCTTCTTTCTTTTGAAATTTAAAATCTTTTCTATCTCTCTTCTTTCTCTTCAAGAATTTTATAAATCTCTTCTCTTCGCACCTTTATAAAGCGTTAGAAGGAAATGAGAGGGTGAAATTGAGTCAGAAGCCATGCTCAAACACGAACAACGACGCGTGAAATCTCAGAGATCATAGACCAATCTTACGATGACGATGAAGACGATGTAACATGATGAAGAAGAAGGTGAAGCTCATGACAACGTCAATGACGATGAGTTTGTCCGAACCTGTGTGTATGTGTATGTGTGTGTGTGTACGTGTATATGTGTACGTCTGTGTTGTGATGCGTGTGACGTCTTTCATTGCATTGAAGTTGCTCTGACCTTTACTTCATTTCTATTTTGCAAACAAAAACTCATTAATTCCGTCATTTGTCGCCCTCAATGTTCTTATAGAGCAGAAGCTGTGCTATGTTAGCATTACCATTCATGACCCAGTCACTCAATGTATTCAACCATAATTCGAATAAAGTGCCACCTCCAAGGGTATGTAAACTCCTCAAAACAACTGGCCTAATACCAAAACCCCGAACAGTTTCAGATCATTTTTGTTTTCTTTCATCACATCACCAGCTACAGCCATCAAGACAATAAATTGAATTTCATCTTTAAAATGAACAAAAAAATTAATGAAAACTGACTTTGTGTCTGGCTGGGACTGATGTGGCGAAGAATAAAAGACAAAAAAAATAATAAAAAACAGCTTTTCCATTCAAAAAAATATGTGGCTCGTCATCAGTAGAAAACATGTCTCTTCTTTATTTGGCATTTAGTTTCGTCACTTCTCTCTCTTCTATCTCTCTCTCTCTCTCTATTTCCCTCTCTGCTTCTTCATCAACATGGATGTCTGTGTGCGTGTGTATAGATATGTGTGTGTATGTGTCATTACCTCTTTTACCAAGGATCTCCTTTACCTCTCTTTCTGTACATCTCTCTGTACTTCAATCTCTCTCTCTCTCTCTATCTCTCTCAATAACGTTTTTCAACTAAAAATATTTTTTTGAATATTTTGTGTGCCAATTATACTAACTTGAGAAGAATTAAAAATTTCGTTTTGGTAAATTTAATTATTTTGATTACGGCGTGGTATGTGTGATATGTGCCCGCTTGAGATAACTATACGTTTACTATGTTACTATGGTATTGTGTTTGTGTTTGTTTTTCTTTTTCATCTCTTCACATATCCATTCTTATACTCTCTTCTTCATTTACCCTCTAATTTGCATAAAACATTTGATTTGTATCCCCCCCCCTCTCTCAATTCGCATATTCTAATTTTCACGTAAATTCCACGTGAACGTGAGAAGAGACGATTAGTGAGAATGAGATTCATTTCGGGTTTTGACAGTTGCGCTAAACGGTTGTTTCACAAAAAAAAAAAAAGATAAGATAATCGAGGAGAGAGAGCGAGCGACATCGAGTCAGTACTTTAAGAGCTTAAACTATAAGTATATAGTAATGTGAAAATACTTTTAAATCCATTTTATTTCGTACTTTTTTCACTTTGTTATTCTTCCTCCCCTTTGAATAGAGGAGCCCTCTCTTTGAACAAATGTGTGTATCAAAATGAAAAACCTGGAAATGTTGAAGAAATAAAACTAAATTGGAGGCATATCCTTGTTTGGATAGTGATGTCACTCTTCTTCTGACCATCTTGCAATTTCAAATTCACTTGGGACAGTGAGATAATTCATTTTTTGCGTGAATATAAGAAGAAGCACAAGTAGAAGAAGAAGAAGAAGGATATGAAGAAAAATAAAGAGAAAAAGAAGAAAAAGAGAGAAAAACGAAGTTTTACAAAAACCATGATATGAAGAAGGCGGTGTGGGTGTTGTCAGCTAGGGACTTAAATCCCCCAATGACCATGTAACAGATCCATTTGGATTTGATTATCATATCGTTTCTTTAATCCCTTCCTCGTTTCATATCTTTTCATCATCATCATGATCATCATAAGCTCAGCTCTTTTTTCATCTCAACAAGCACTCTCATCTAGTCTTTCACACTCTCTCTCTCTCACTCTCTCATATTCTATCTCATGCATATCTCATCGGATAACTTTTAAAGATATCATAATCTGAAGATACGTTTGAAGATTGAATATTTCATTTTTCAATACAACCTATGATGTCATTGAGTTTGACACCCTCAGATGATGGACAGACTCAGACGGCCGGAAGTTAAATGAGTAAAAGGAAATTCCGATTATAAGATCGCAGATGTAGACGTCCAAACTTCAATGTTATTTGGACAATGTTTTTTGATTCTCTCATTTAGTTATATTCTGTTTATCTTCAACTGAATTGTCTTCAGAACATCGTTTTTTACATTGAAAGAAAAGAATTTTTTTCTTCTTTTTTTGAAGTCCGCAGCCTTCTAACGTCAGATTTATTTTTAGAAACGAAGAAGAAGCCAGCATAGAGGGGTGAAGGAGTGTATGGGAGAGGAATGGGAGAGATGAGGCGAGACTATAAGAAGGTGGTAAAAAGGAAACGAATAGAGATTGAAAGAGATTGCTGCTGTATGTATGTCACTGAGCTTCCGATCTATTTTAATTTTAATAATTGATAAATAACTCTTCTCAGATTTATCCTCCCTCATCAATCTACTTTGCAGCTGAGTGTATCTTTTCTCCAGCACATCCGTTTTTTCACTTCCTGAGGATTCATTTCCTTGTTTCGCAAAAATGATGTAACGATGCCCATATAATCGTTTGGAAAGTTGACAAAGACGAAAAGAGAGGAGAAAACTTCGGCCAACTTGACGTCACTTCTGTCACTTCTCAGTCAGAACCCTAAGTCGTTTCTCTCTCTCTCCCTAGTTTTCTTATACTCTCTTAGTCATTTATTCCGTTTTTTGTTTATTTTTCCTTGATTTTAGCAACCTCATATCAATCACAGCAACAGAGCTCGCAGTTCGTAAGGTGTCATCTCTCTCTATCACTCTCTCTCTCTACATATATCTCCTTATATTTTTCTTACACTCTCTGTTTCCTTCTGAACATATGATCATACAAGTCAACGATGAACCTTAACTATTCCATTTGGCCTTTACGGCTTTACGTTTTTTATAACAATTTGGCTTACAACTGCAATTCTCTTTGGCTCTTCCCTCTTTTCCTCTCCCTGTCCCTCTTTCTCTCTCGGTCTCCTATATAAGGGCAAGTTGAAAGCTAAACATAGCTTCACTGAGACAGAACAACTTCTTGTTCATACTAATTAGAATTGTTTTTTCTTGAAGCTGTGACGATCGTCAGTCCCGTTCAACGAAATCATTTTTGTTCGTCTACCACCTCGTGCTCTTCTAATTATTTGTTAATAAAGCACATAGTTAATCCTATAAAGTGTCAGTCCATTTATGGCTTTCTTCGTTCTTTTCTTTTGTTTTTGATTTTTTCTTATTTTTCATCTGATTAGATGATGCCGAAATGAAAAATACAATCAGAATTTTGAGCGAAATTGAATAGGGCATCGTCATCTCGGCTTCAAGAAGGTTTCTTGCCGTCGTCCCCCCACTTCCTCTCTCTTCTATTCATTTTTATCTCTCTCTAAATAACAAAGAGAGATATCCAATTGAAACAACTTCTTCTTTTCTCTCTCTCACTGACTATCCAGCTTTTATTGTTTTTTTTTAGCTTCCATAGCCATTTATAGAGATGATGACTTCTATTAGCCCTTTCTACTCTCATAAGAAGGCTGTCGAGCTCAGCGAAAGAAACTATCCGCCTTGGGCAGCAGACCACAATATAAACATTTCGTAAAGATGTCCATCTCTCTTCCTCTTTATTCCTCTTTCTCTTCTACTAGCTTATACTTTGTATTTCATTGAGAAGCTACAAACTCTTCTACTTCATATCCCACTTCCTTATATGATAATAGTCAAATGAAGAAGAAGGAAAAAAAGTTTTCGGCCAACAGAGATGAATTGAATCTATCTCGCCTATGATCTATAAGTACAAACTAAAAATGTTTTCTTCCTTTGCAGCCCCAAAAAAAAAGATGAAAAACGAATGAAGAACAAACAAGTGTTTTCGAAAAAGTATGAAAAATATAAAAAAATTATTTAGTTAACTATATAATATAGTTAATTAAACATTTTCTCCATTATTTTGTTGTTGAAACGCCTTTTTCTATGAAAAGTCTGCTTTGTTGCATAAAAATAAAAAAAAACGTAAATGAGAACTGTTCATCCCGCCGTTCCCTCCTTCCTCATGCAATAAGAAAACAATCGAGATAAGCTATATCATATAGTTAACACAGAAACATCACACACACACATGCACACACACACACACATCATGCACACGCAGGAGAGGAACGAAAGAGGAAGGAAAATGAGTTTTAATTTTTTGTCAACCGCTCTATGCGCCATCACATTGATCTAAATAACATTCGTGTGATGGTCGACGATGCGCCACGGAAATTTCACGTATGCTAATGAGCGTTCAAACGATAATCGTCTTTATCTTCTTCTTCCTCATTTTGGTTACCCTTTTGACTCTCTCTATATCCCCTTCACCTCCATATGTAAGCTTTGATATCTCACAACGCCTATCCAGCTCTCTCTTTCTCTCATACTCTCTCTCCTCATCTCTCTATCATCAGATGTATCCCTACGGAACTTGTTCAAGTACAAAATTATCTAAAAATAACAAAAATTAATTTATGAAAATATAAATATTCTCAGACAGACGCAGATTTTTGAATTTTTGTATTTTAACGAGTTCACCAGTCCTTCTAATGAAAGGAGTTATATGAATAGGTTCATATACATAAAGAGATGGTCGAAGAGAGAAAAAGAGAGTTGGAGAGAAAGAGAGTTGGAGAGATATATGGATAGAAGAAGAGTCTTCTTATAGAAGTAGAGAGAGAGAGATTGAAAGAGAGAGAGAGAGAGGATAAGCTGATGAAAAAAAGTTTTTTTTCCCCTCATTTTTTTTTGTTGATTTCTCTTCAACTGACGACATACTGTTGTAGATCAATGTTTGATTATTCTGAAAATATAATTGTTTGTATAACTTTGAACACAATTTATGTTTTCTCCTCATACGATGTTTCAATACATTTTCACAAAAAAATAATTGTTTCAAGCTCTTCAAGCCTGAAATACACATCTCGATTGGCGTCTACGATCACGTACATATCCTTCCATACGTAATAGTTGGCGGGAGCTTTCTTGTATTCAATTGTAACTATTGAACAGACCAAGAAAATTAATTAAAATGTTTTTTTTTCTCTCTACAAAATTTAAAAGAGAAAGTGAGGGGGTAAGAAGTACAAATGAGGTAAAGAGAGAAAGAGAGAGAGAGGTAGGAGTATGGAGGTGAGAGGCTAAGTGGGTGGACGTGCTGAAAGAGTTGTTGAACGTATTCCAACAAAAAAAAAACGTTTTCACTCCTGTTTATTTATGGAGTTGATCAAACTATTTTCATGCAAATTGTAAATTTAAAATTATATAAATGACTCGTTTTTTGACTCCAAAAATAGCGAAGAGAACGACTTCAAAAGACAAACGCCAATTAATTGGAATGAGAAAAAAAAAAAAAAAGAAAAAAAAAGTAAAAATGAAAATGAATTTTATGAAAAGAAAGATCTACAGTACTCTGTGGTGTGACCTTGAAAGGAAATAAGTGTCCGGAAGAGAATAAAAGCTTAAAAATGAGGATGAATCGGCTAATCTTATGACACATTGAGTGGAGGTGGTAGGGGTGGAGATGATGGTTGATCATAAAAATTAAAAAAGAATGTGTACATATTGGTCTGGATAATATAATGGGCCAAGGCTTTGAATGACTTCCTCTTCTATCTAACACCTTCATCCCCCCCCCCCTTACAACCGCCATCACATACACACACATACACACACAACCACATTCTCTGTTTCATCTTCTTTCAATTTCTATAGTGAACATGATATATAAGTAGTTGAAGAATAAAAAAAATATTGAAAAGATCATAGATAGATGAGAGGTACTGGATTAGAAAATAACTTTTTCTTGCTCGTGCAGCCGGATACATCATGTCCATCTAGTGATCCGGAAGATGTCTTCACTCACGATTACGGTAACTTCTTATTCGCAACATCATCTACACCAACACCATCGTCGAACACCTTCATTCATATTCTCATATTCTGTTTTCACATTCTTCATTCTTGTAACTATCAGATCGTTATTATATCATTTTATACAAAAACTATATTTCTCACTACGGACGATCTTTGTTTCTAACAAGTTCGCCTGCATAGTTTGTATTTCGATTCTAAGATGATAAGGTTGATAATCAGAAATGAAGAAGCTGTCCTTAGCTTCCACTCTCTATCTCTCAACTACTTTTTTATTCATAACAGATTTAACCTTTTGCATTACTCCCTCACTTTCATACTTTTGCATTCCCATGAAAGTTCTAAAGATGATTCTTATGATCAAATGCTCTCTCATCATCTTCCTCATCATCTTCGTTTGTTGCTACTCCTAATGGACTTCAAAATCAAACCTGCACAGATGAGAGATAAGAGATTCCAGAAGACATAACGCCTACACATGCAAGTTTGACGAAAAAAAAAAAAGTCAAAAATAAAATAAAAGTCCCAAATGGTATATCTGATTGATTAGATCGTCAAGTTACGACGTCGTCTTCTTACGTCGTCGTCATTACTCTCGTCTACCTCATCTGCATACTCTCATCTGATACCAAATATGGCTTTCTCAGATAAAATAAGCTTAATTGCTTCGTTTTGAAAGAAAAAATTTAATAAGTCGATTAGAGTTTAATTGTTTTTAACGAACAAAGAATGGAAACTCCAAAGCTCACGCCTTCAAAAAGTTCCTGAAAATCCAAATTTTTGTTTTTTTTTTCTTCCGCACTCGGAGCAGAAACTGCTCAAAGTAATATTGAAGTTTCGCCCATTTACATCCAAAATCATAAATTACTACAAGACGAGCAAGAAGCACAAAACGAATTGTTGTTTTGTTTGTTTTTGAGCTTTTCCGTTTTTGGAACAAAAAAAAAACGATCATCGGCAATCCCTGTGTTAACTGATAAGGAGGGAGAGCTTTCCGATAGCCGCGGTTCAGCTGTCGTCTTTGTCATCATCTCACTCTATCTATCTATCTCCCTCCTTACTTATTATCATAGTAACGAAGTGTTTCTCTCTATCATTTGAATGACGTCAATCTAAGCTTAACTAGCGTTTATTTCAATTACAAGAACTATTTGCCTTCGTTTAACAATAGACATTTTGCCTTGCCTTTGGTTTACGTGTCTCTAACACTCACGTATTCATAATGAGATCTGTTTCTTTTTTCATTACTCTCTCTCTGCTTCTTTTTACATATTTTTCTGCTTATTTGGTCATTCTCTTTCTGCCATTAGCATGTTTCATCTTCTTATTCAAGCTCTTACTTCAATTGAACTCTTTGTTCTGATGCTGTTTGTCTGACTTCAGAATCTGCGCATTACTTCCTTATTCTTCTTCTTTTTTTTCCCTCTCTTCTTAACGTCTTCTTATTGCCTCTTTTACTCTTGTTTTTATTTTTGCCCATAATTGTTTCCTTAGCTTCACATCTGACTTTCCTTCATTCGTTGTAAGCACAATGCGGAACTTACCCATCCTTTCAGCCAATTCACCTCATTCTGTCCCTCTCTCCTTCTTCTTCTTCTCCTCCTCCTCCTACATCTTTACTATCTCACTCTCAGTCTCTGATTGAAACATCAAACTTTTTGTTTTCGTTAGTGTTAATACAATTTGCTTCAATTAATGCAGCAAATAATCTTCAAATCATTCTCTCATATTTTACAATTTGAAGGAAGTATGTGTGTGGTCGTTTGACCACGCCCATTTCAAGCTTACAACTGCTCCGCCTTCTCTTCTTTTGAGCTCACAGGCATTATCCGGTATGCGCATATACCAAACGGCAGTATCACATCCTCTTCAATTCCTTCAGATTGATGATAAATCATGTACGTGAAACATGTATATTCTAATTATTCACGTGAACCTTCACGTGGAACGCACAATCATTTCGTCATCATATAGCGTGTTGAACGGTTGTCATCACTTCTCTCTCTCTATCTTATTCCTCTTCTTCTTCTTCTTCTTATTCTGTCATCACCCATATGTCTCTCTCTCTCTCTCTATTTTTATATTTCTCTCTCTCTCTCTCTTTCTATTTCTATCTTTGTTTCTCTCTCTTCCTCTCTTTCTCTCTAATTCTCTTCGTTTACTCTCTATTTCATGATTAATGTTGCATGAATGCTTTTGCTTTTTTCCTTGTTATGTTCCTTTTGCTGAATGACGTTGTTTATGAGTTTATTTACATTAAATTAATGGAATAATTAGTATAATTTATAGGAGTTTGTTTGTTTAATCAGGATATAAATAAAGAAATAAAAAGAAAAAATATAATAAATGGACAGTTCAAGCTTCTCAGCAACATCATCCACAATGAGTCCACCGCTATTGGGTCGTATCAGCTCATCTGTTATCATTCCTACTGCTAATAATCCATTTTCGAATTCAATTCATTCAACTGCCCGAGTTGTTTATCCGCTTCTCATCTTTATGTCCCTCATAGCACCTTCAGTAGCAAATGGTAAGTTTCAATAATTTCATTATATAGCTATCTCTATCTATATATAAATAGATAGATTCTATTTTTTCTTATATTTATATATATATATATATACACACATCTCATATCTATAACCATTGATGAGCAGCAGCAGCAATGTATGCGAGTGACAGAGAGAGAGATAGAAGCACAACATGTCGAGAAGGACACAAAACGATCATTCTCTCAATATGATCGTCGTTCGCAACATTTTCCAAACTTCCAACCACTGTTTCATTTTTGTATCCAGCATGCTCTTGTCATTTTGCGAAAGATTAGAGACAGAGCACAAGAGAAAACGCAATTTGTTATTATTTTGGCAAATTTTCCTTTCAAGCCCCCCCCCCCTCAACCTTATTAGCTTAAGCCTTATTACCTTAGCATATATTTGTATATATATATATATATATATATATATATATTTATATATATGTATCTAGACGATAAGACTTCTGCTTCAGCAATTTCGACAACCTTTCCGAAAGGTAAATGTTACCTGGAAAAAGACGTGACGATTCATGAAATAACTGCTACTGTTGTATGACTGCTCATACACACACTCTTTCTCTCTCTCTTTCTCTCTTTCTCTTACCCTTCTATCTCTCTCTCTTTCTCCCTCTATCTTTCTCTCACCTCTCACTTCAGTCACAACAATCAGATGACAACGACGACAACGTTTTTCATATATTTAGATGAAGCTTTTGATAGAATCTCCAAAAATTTCTTAGCCCACGGGGCACCGTGTGAAGGCAAGCGGAAACGATTGAACGTCATTGTCGGGATGAAATGACGTCGTTTGTCATTCAAGTATACTGAGATCATCTGAATCCTTGCACCTTCAACCAAATTATAATCATATTGGAGACATTGTTGAAAAGATCAAAAACAGTTCATGCCATGACAAGAACTAACGGTCTCAAACGGAAGTAAAATTATGAGGTTGCGTATCATAGCTGTAACACCTCTAATTACGTTCGTGACGACTGCCCATCACCTTCTAATTATTTGTGACGATAGGGTTGAAAGACGAAGAAGAAAAAACATTTTCTTATCCATTTTTTTCTCGAAAAATTCAAACCCCCCCCCTGGCGCCAAACATCGCTTTGGCCATATTCAATGTTTTGATCCAAAGATCTTATCTGCATCGTTAACTCTTTTGAGCAATTTTTTGATATAATCCAAGCTTTGGCTCTTCATCCTCCCTCACTCACTCAGTCCCTCATATCCGTTTTTTTATTATTATTAATTGAAAAACAATAATGAAACAACAACAAATAAAAGAATTACATTTCGTATTTTGATCTTGCCACATACACATACACATACCTCATACACAAACTCTCTTTACGTACTAATATGCATGCTGTTTACAGGTGGACGATGTTTCATTCTTCAAAAAGGTCTGAGTATAGATGGAGGGAATTATCGTAGAATCCGAGAACTGACCCACAAAGAGTATGTTTCATCTTAACTTTTCTTAGATTCTTTTCAAATTATTCAAAAACTAAGCTTCAACACGTGTTACGGTATTCCTTTGTAGATGTGCTCTAGAGTGTCGTGATGATCCATCCTGCTTGGCTTATGAATTTTCAGACGATGGCTCGGTACGAAAATTATAATTTACATACTTTCACTCTCTCTATCTCTATTCCTCTTTCTCTCTCTCTCTATCATCCTTCTCTGTTAGTAGTTGAATGACGACTTCTTTAAGACTTTAAGACTTTTAGTTGATTTTTGTTAGAAAGTTCAAAAATCATTTATTCTATATAATAAAAAATTAATTGTAGGTCTGCTATCTGAAGGCTCGTTCACTTTCTGGAGGTTTGACGAAGAAGCAGGACACCTTCCTCGGTTTCTGTCTTGATGAAAGTGAGTGTGAGTCTTTCAAGTTCATCCAAAATTAATACAATTCTCTCCATGTCAAAATCCTTTTGTCAATGACGTCATTATAAGCTTAAATAGAGATTTACGTCATGAAGTCAATTAGTTATGCATTAGAATGAAAACAGTCACACAAAAATGTATGTCTGACCACATACCGCACAGATATGATGATCAGGTCTACGTGTGTGTTTGTGTGAGTATGGTGTGTGTGTGTGTACGTGTGTGTGTGTGTGTGTGTGTGTGTGTGTGTGTGTGTGTGTTGTCTCCTTCAGCATCCATAAGATGGCTGTGCGAAAGCATTCCTTCCGATACAGTAATAGGGAGTGAACAACAAATTTTTATATTTTATCACAAATCACTTTGTAACGCTTATTATCTAAGCAGAAAGAGAAAGAGAAAGAGAGAGAGATGAGGAGAAGGAGAAGAAATAGGTAGACGGAAGGAATGAAAGAGCGCAACAGACAGATTGGACAGAGAGAGGGGACGGAAGAAGAATTAAAAATTATTTCTGTTTCGAATGCAACCGCTCTCCACGTCTAACTAGTTGTGAATGATTAGAGAAATTTGCATACGTGGAAGAAAGAAAGAGCACCTGCTAATATGCTAATTTGGTAGAACTGAAAAACAAAGGAATTGTTAAGAATATATAGGAGTTTTTTAATATTTTTTCATTTGTAGACGATGAAATTCGGGATAGATTCCGTGATCATGTAGTTACTGGTCCACAATTGGCTACAAAAGCTAATTGTAAATCCGATGATTGCCGTGATTATTGTCTAGATGTGCCTGGCGCAGTTATTTATTCGTGGACGCCAGATGATAGCAGTAATGATGAATCAGATATTGGTAAGTTCATCTTGCAACACACTGTATCTTATCATTCATGCATACTATTTAAGGTACATGCTCATGTATTGAATCTTTACGAAGTGTGAACTTGGAGTTCAACAGTTTTGCTGGAATTTTACCTCCGAAACGTCATGCACGCAGACTGGAGAACTCACTGTTTGTGTGAAATGCTTCAAAGCCTTTTGATTTGACGGAACATACTTCTATGAAAAAAAAAAAAGTTTTGTCAAATTTGATTTGTTTTGTTCAACATTCAGTAAGACTGATCATATGATTGGCCTAACAAGCATTACTTTCTCTTTTCTTTGTTTTTTTGCAAATCTGTTAAGAAGTATACACGGACCAACAATACAGATAATTCTATCAATTGAACTGAATGGTGTAGCCCTTATTTAGATATTACTTCTGACCTCTTGAGCATTCCCATGATTATAAATGAAATTTGTTGATGAAAATTCGCTTATCATTCTTCTCTATCCCGATTCATTGTTAATTCACTCAATCCCTAATCATCTCTCTCTCTTTTACTTCCTTTTCTCTCTTAATATGCATCTCCCTCTCTATCTCTCTCTCTCTCTCTCTCTCTCTCTCTCTCTCCCCGTCGGACGTGTACAGTAGTTATTCTAAAAACTTCATTCATTCCAAATGCTCTTTTCTTCTCATATTTTAATTATATTTTCATCAAAGAGATTGGTAACTTCTTTTTTATAATCTCTCATCCATCAATTATTTCGTTATCAGATTAAGTTTATTCTTGGTGGAATCCACATTTGATCCTTTTATTAGACGATCTCTCCATGTTTTAAGCTGCCTTCAATTTTATTTTATTTTTTATTTAAAAAGGTTTTTATTTTACAATAAATCCTCAAAGGATTAATAAGTGAATCTACAGGTTTTCCATTGAATTATATTTGTCTTAGTTTTTTATTTTTTTTTTTAAATAAAATAAAATCTTGATGACGATGAAGCATTTTGAACTTTGCTTTGCTGCTGCTGCTTTAGCTGGCTGACTGGCTTGCTCTGACTTGCTCGTTGGCTGGCTGGTGAGCGAGCGCTAGCGAGGGGACTTGACCATTACACGTTGAGATTGTGCAAGATTAATCTCATCAAGCTGGCATACTGGATGTACGGACATGAAACAAAATATTTTTCTTAACAGTTTTTGAAGCTGTTTTTATAAGCAGAAGGAAGTAATTTCTGCACCGTGTTGTCACACTTCATCATTTTGAATATTCCTCCTCTTTGATTAAAACGTTTTCCTCTTCTTTTTTTTTTTGGCTCATCAATGATGAAGTTCTTAGTTTCATTCGAAATTCAAACAAAACAAACAAAACTGAAAAAGAATGAAAGAAAATTGCAGAATGCTCCTGCTTGCCCATTAATCTCTTAACCGAAACGACGAAAGACATTCCTTTTCATTCGTTTTTTCGACTTTAAAATTCTTTCGTTTAGCTCTTCTATCTGATGTTCTCATGATGTCCTACCAAAATATGTTTGCTCCTTTACCTTCATTCACTTCACTCTCTTGCTATTTCACAAAAAAAAGTGTTTGACAGCTTGCTAACCTTCATCTGAAATTTATGACGTTCCTAATTGAAAAGAGAGAGAGACAGAGGTGGAGGTAAAGAGAGAGTCTTATGAGAGGGACAGATATATTTAAAGAGAACAAATGAAACATGTAATACGTGGATAATGTAATAAGCAATAGCTTACCTGATCTCATATAATCAACCGATCATTACGTCGCGAGCAATGAAAATGAATTTCGAACAGTCAATTGGTCTACCTGACGTATGTACGTTGAGACTTTATGCTAATGAACCTTTCAAGTATAATATGCTAATTGAAAGAATTATAATTCAAAGAAAAAAATGTAAATACTGGTTTGTAAATAGATATAGACAAATCCATAAATAATAATAATAATAATAAAACGATATTATACATTTATTCACAAAGATACACCACACATGCACATACACACACACACACACACAGACAGGGACACACACGCACACAGACACATACACACGAAGAATCTTATTACTGTTTTGATGTAGATGAGAGTGATTGGATGAAATGGAGATGAAGACTGTTCAGACGCAATCCGTTGATCGATCTCGGAATAGCCTGGGTATTCGGATTTTCAAAAAATGAGACCTACAATCACATATAGTTAAAAGACATATAATATATATATAAATAGTATAATCACATTTTTATTTGTTAATAATATCTAATTGCTAACGACATTATATGAAACATATGCTTTCCTTCTATATTCACTTCCAAACGGCTATTACTTGTCGTTCAATGAGTTGAACAACAGGGAGAAGCCGGAAGTTGTTTGATGTTTTTATCAAAAACGTTATTGAGCTTCGTGTACATTCATCATCACCACTAACAACTCCCCCATAAAATAAATGCCAACAAAATCTGCTGATATCGCTTCCATTCCTCCCTCTATACTTCCCTGTCTCCTGTTCTCATCTCTCTCAGACATCCTTACTCCCTCTCTAAACGCGACGATTTCTGTTGCAAGAAGAGAGAAGAGAAGATGAAGACGGCAAAAAAAATATATTCTCACACCAGATCTCTCTCTCTCTCTTTTGCTCTTTCTCTCTTAAACCTTGAAAGCTTGTTTTTTAATAAATGATGTCACCAATTTTCACGTACTTAAGTCCCAATGAGGAGGGGCCCTCAAGATCACATGTGCTCTTCAATCCTACCTCCTTCGCAGCTCTTCAAGCCAAATATCTTTTTTCTTATAATCTACTACACTCCCTTCTCATTTATATGTTTAATGTGTTTTTTGAGTTCGAAAACAGAAAAAGAACAAAGATATAAGGAAGAAGAAATGAGATTGAACATTACCTAAATGGTGCCGATAGAAGTAAAAGTAACCACGGGTTCGACAAAGCAAATATATCCGCAGCTAATGTCAGGGAAAACAGAACGATCAGATATGCGCTTGAATCGCTTTTCAATATTCCCAATGCAAGAAAACTCTGGAAGCAATGATGATGAGCATGAGCGATAAGTGAAGAAGTGTACGATATGTACCTGGAATATGGTCATAGCAATAATAGTGAGCGTGAAACTGAATGAATACACAAGGAGATTGTATTGAACCCGTATAGCAAGCCGATGTTGTTGATCAAATAACTGAAACATGTTCATATAAGGTAATAGCATCATCATCCTAGTATACTTTCTCTTTACGCTGTTTAGACAGAATACAGACTGAGGTTGTATTGAGGATGAGTGAAGTTAAGCCAAAAAATAGATAAATAATACATGAAACAACCGAATTCAACTGCAACAATGGTTTGATACATCTTTACTCTTTGAAGCTTTCACCTGCTGATCTTCACTATTACAAAGCATGGGAACAACTCTATTCCCTAAGTCTTGATAGTCTGCTTTTTGAGGAAAACGAATAGCCGTAGGAAGAAGAGCCAGAAACGCACTAATTAACAATAGAAATAACATGGACCGAGGAGACCACATCTGAACAGTCACCCGTATTTCATTTTGATTTCATATTCTAGTATACCCATCGGTGTGTTAAGGGATAAGCTATCGCTGTTAACCTGTTGATCGCCAAAAGTAACTGGGCGAATAGTTCTAATAGACATGCATATTGAGAAAGAACGAATCCCACTTTGGCAATCCATCGATGTTGCAAAACAAACTGAGGAGGAAGTAAAGTTCAAGATGAAATGAAAGAGAAATCCACTTACCCGCCATCCAGTCAGCGGTAATCTAAAGGCAATGAGACTCGTCATAACCTGCACAATATCTGCAGGACCTGAATATGTGAGAGAATGTAACGACATACGATCAACTCGAAACAGTAGTTACTTACCTCGTGCAAAGAAAATTGTGTGAAAAGCTGATTGAAATTGAGGATCCTTGTTTCTGATTAAATAAATGAGCTCAGCTGCATATAATATGACAGAAGGCACTATATATATAAGTTGTAGTTCCACAATAAATTGAAATAGATGCATGTCTTAGAAAGGTTTGCGTCTTCTTGGTCTTCTTCGTCGTCTGCCACAGCTACCACCACCACCACCACGTCGTCTCCAATCTTTCTTCGTCTCAGCCGTCCAAACAGCTCAATTGTCTTCTTCTCCTAATATAGAAATCTCATCATCTCGGGTCTCATAAAGGCTGAACGATTACGCTCCATATATGGTCAAGAATGCACCAAATGACGACGAAATTGAGAAACGCCAGCAACGGCTCGGGTCACTTAATTACACAATTCCTTCCGTGAATCTTAGGTTTCACTCTCATCAAATCAACCCCCTCCCCACTAAGTGACGTATTCATGGATAAAAAGGAGCAGTTGAAGATTACTAATCGAACAACTTCAAGGAAGATATCATATTATATCAATGACCTTATATGTCGCGAAAGCAATACGTTCATAGCAAGACAAAGAGAATGAGGAAAAGGACAAGAAGAGAATATTTTTGAACAAAAATTGAAACGAATGTTTGTCATACACTTTATTTCTGAATAAAACTTAAATTTGAGAAGAGATTCTAGGCGAGAGTTGTTGTCTTTCTCAAAAATGCGGACAACCAAATGGGAAACAGATGTTCGACAGTATGAGTGGATGGTTGCAACAGGTGCAGATAAACGGATATCCGGAAAAACTCCAAGTGTTGTTAACGATAAGACTGAATCGTCTGCTTCTTCTTTTTCGAGAAGCATTGGAACAATCGAAGTTCCAAAGTATGGTATGGAATATGAGGGAAGGCGAGGCATCCATTTCCTGTACTACTTTCTTCCTCCTTTCCAACATCAGCAGAAACAGATGAGTGAGCTTCAGAAATGACAGAGAAGGAAATTGCAATCTGAATCCAGCTATTGCTGTTACCACAGCTCTCTCACACACTCTTCAGTCATAAGTTCACTAGCAAAACGAGAAGCAATAAGAAAATTCATAATTTTCATTTAAAACGCCGTCACATCACAGCCACATATAGGAGAAAGTATTCAATTCCAACAGTCAGTATCAACACGAACGAACGGCTGAGAGAGAGAGTTGCGAAAGTTAAGAAGGAAATGAAAAAAGAGGAAAGACGAAGAGAACGTTAAAATTTAAAGAAAATTACATTGAACAGCAGAGAAGGAATTACTTTTTATTCTGACGGAAGGCAAACGCCGATGTTTCCAAGATTTTCCACTCTTGACCAAAGAAAATGTAGAAGGAGGAGAGGAAGAGGAGAATACGATTAAATACAAGGCATATGCTTAAACAAATGAAAAATATACAAACATTGAATGCTCAAATGCTGGGTTTTGCATCCTCAAATTGTTTCCTGGCCTTTTTCAGTTCTTCACTCATCGATAGAAGATCCTATAAAAAGAAGTCAAGTAGAAAAATGAAATGCAACTCCACTTCAAGCTTAGCTCAAGCGGATGAAATGCAGATGTTGACTGATCTGAATTACCTTTACTCTTGCGAATTTCTTTGCATCTCTTCTAATCAGGTAATGAATATCTTCCAAACCAAGTTTGTCCGGTTTCCCCACTTTCACCGCCCGCTCACATAATTCCTGAAAGTGAGGGATCAACTGCAAAAACACTGAATTTCATACTTTGATGTAATCGAGAACTATGGCTTCTAACGTTTCCAAGGTTTTGTCGAAGGGAACCTAGAAAAGGAAGTCAAGAGTGAAGGAAGTCTTCAACACACCTTATCGTCTCCGAACCCAAACAACATAGCTCGCAACTCCTTCCGGAACATGAACTTCTTGTCCTCGGGCGAAAGCTGAAAATGAGCAAGGGATTGCAAAATTTGCAACATGCAACAGCTTTACCTTCTCTGCTCTTTTCTCATCGTCTTCGAGATCTGATCCGAAAAGATCCTCATCATCATCCATTATGAACTATGCTATGTGATTATCAAAACTATGTATGAACGAATGAA